CATAGTGACAAACCAGAGATTTTTTAGAATCAGTTCATTTTTAATTTCCTCATTTACCCAAGATTTAAACCAATTTCTTATGTATGATGAAGCTGGTATCCAGGATACTTTACTGGTCTACTTATAGGACTCAAAAATGAACTTGAGGGAGTGTCTAAAAAACTCCCTGCTTTGCCACTATGGCTGCATTACACACTAAATTAGCACTAGTGCATAGTGGCAAAGCAGAGAGTTTTTTTAGACTCTCCCTCAAGTTCATTTTTGAGTTCTATAAGTAGACCAGTAAAGTATCCTGGATACCAGCATCATCATACATAAGAAATTGGTTTAAATCTTGGGTATATGAGGAAATTGAAAATGAACTGATTTTAAAAAGTCTCTGGTTTGTCACTATGCACTAGTGCGTTAACAATGTGTGCATTTGGGGCGGTCCGTTCTAGCTTTCTAACGCTGTTTGGATTCCAGTGGCAGTGACATTGCACGCGTTCTGATGGTAATTGGATTCTTGTGACTGGCGTTGCACACGTTCTAGCGATGATTGGATTCATTTGACTGTGACGTTGGACGCGTTCAAGCGTTGATTGGATCCTTGTTACTGTGATGATGTAAGCTCTGTTTTTTTTTCAATGAAACAGCTGTGGCAGCTTGCAGATAGTTGTCAGTGATGAAGATGGACTGAAAGTGGAAGTGTGCTGGACGTTCCAGATTTTTGGGTCCTGCTTTCCAATTTGCTATGTTTAGGTACCAGTTAATATATTACCCCTCTGGATTTCCACACTGCTGAGTGAGTACTCATATTAGAGTGGAAAATCTTTCTAAATGCCTAAAAGGTCAATACAATCTCAACCAATCCTTCTTATAGCTATAAGCTAGCTACCTAACGCTAACACATGTTATTTGTATAATGTAAGTAGGCTAATAGCCTATAACAAATAGTCAAATAGTTAAAGACTACTTAAAAGTTTAAGCCTTATAAGAATTACCTAGCTTAATTTGGACATTTTAAATGCACAACTTGCAAATGCTGACTATAATTACAATGACCAGTTAATAGAAAATTACTATCTCGATTTATATTTTATCCTGCAACAGTCGTATGCCTGTAAACTAAAGGCTGTAATAGATATTTTCGCTGGCTAATTGCAGTTATTGCACTTGCCCCGCCTGAATACGACAGCAATCGTTCACAACTCAAGTAGCCAACAGGTAAGCGTAGGACGGGAACAATAATATATATCGCGAAGCTCATGTTTGAAGAAATACTAACTAATTATGAATTATTATTCATAATAATTAGTTAGTATTTTGATCGTATAGTATAGTCACACAGAAGATATCAGAAGAAAATGGGATCGTTAGAATAATGAGTTTTGGTACAGAAATGTTGGTTACTCTCTCATTGAAGTGACAGGACAAATACCAAAAGAAAGAACAGTAATTGCTTCTGGCTAATAAATTGTAAAGATAGTTCAAGCCAGTGTCATTCTAAGACGTTATCACTCACGCAAACATGATTCAAACCAATTTGAGTACGTATACTGTTCCCAGTGACCTTTACAGAAACTTGCTACGATTACCTACACCAGTGGTTCCCAAAACTCTTTCAGGCTGGCGCCCCCTATGGCTCCCTAGTGAATTTATAGCGCCTCAATTCACTAGGGCGCCTCAAAATTGCAATTTTTAGCGCCTCCCACTGCAATTTTATAGCGCCTCCCACAAAGTTAGTACGCTGCAATTTTAGGAGATAAAGGTTAAATACAAATGTGCATTTCACAAATAGAACCCCATTTAGTGAACCATTATGTTTTTCAGCTGTTTTAACTATTTCAGCACTAGAAACCTAAGACGTCTCGGGCGAATTTACGGCCGGACTCGTGGCCGGTCTCACGACCAATCTCTAAATTCAATTATCAAGTAATATCTCCCAAACTAATAGCCCGTAATTTTTTTTAAATTTCGCCTTTATTCGTGAGTTATGCGTATATTGCGAAACAGGCCGAAAATTCGCAGTGATCAAAGAATTTCTCACAAACCATTGAACAGATTTGAACGAAATTTTGAATATTCATTCCCAACTACCAAATGGTGATATTTTAGTTTATAAATTTTTTTTATTTTTCCTTCGTT